TATATCCATCTCTTCTGCAACCTACTTTTCTTTCTCTAGTCTCTATTAAAATCACTTCATAAATCAGGTGCTAAAAAATCATCCTGTACTTTTCAGCCAGGATTCCAATGCAAAACTCTCACCAAATCCTATGAATTCGCCCTTCTAAGCCAGACATTGTGGCTCACGCCTGTCATCCCCGCATTTTGGGAGGCAAAGGCAAGAGGGCTGCCTGAGTCCAGAGGTTCAAGACCAGCCTGGGTAACTTGGTGAGACCTTGTCTCTACAATCAATAAAAAAGTTAGCCAGGCGTGGTGGCATGTGCCTGTGGTTCCAGACATTCGGGAAGCTGAAGCAGAAGGATTGCCTGAGCCCAGTAAGTGGAGGCTGCAGTGTCTGTGAGCATGCCACTGCACTCCAGCCTGGGCAACAGAATGAGACTCCCACTCAAAAAAAGAAGAGAAAATCCCCCTCCCTTGTAGCTGCCATTCACATCTGTTCTCCCATGACTGTAATTCAAGTTTCCAGTATTTCTTGCATAGGCTTGTGCAATACTGTCTATGCTTCTATTAGTCTGCCTACTGTGTTGCATTATAATGTGTTGTTCTCATGTCTGTCTTTGTTACATTCTTACCATATTTTGTGCCTTTGAAGACAGAGACAATCATCTTTGGGCTGCTTGCATCCCCCCTTGCTTATCACAGGACCTGGAGTCTAATACAAATAATTTTTTTTTTTGAGTTGGCATCTCACTCTGTCACCCAGGCTGGACTGTGGTAGCATGCTCATGGCCACCGCAGCCTTGACCTACTGGGCTCAGGCGATCCTTCTATCTCAGGCTTTCAAGTAGCTGAAACTACAGGCACACGCTACCATGCCCACCTTATTTTTTGATTTATTGTAGAGACAAGGTCTCACCAAGTTTCCCAGGCTGGTCTTGAATCCCTGAGCTGAGGCAATCCTCTCAACCTCAGCCTCCCCAAGTGCTGGGATTACAGGCTTGAGCCACCGCGCCCAGCCAAATAAATATTTTTAAGTGAATGAACAAAGTCAAAAAAGTAAACCTGGGAAATTGTGTGCAGCCCAGATGGGGCATATTCTCTCCTTTCTTCTGCAGGGGGTAAGGAGGAAGACGGGATCCAGGTGGGGCGGGACCGAGAAGTTGGCGACAGTGCAAAGTCTTCACCTGCTAGTCCATGTGGTGGGCGGGTCTGCTTTCTTTCCTGTTGGTTAATTAGTGCTCAACTATAATTTTTAAAAGGCTAGACATATGATTTTATATAAATGTAAAATGAATGTTACAGGAGGCCGAGGCGGGAGGATTGCTTGGGTACAGGAGCTTAAAACCAGCCTGGGTAACATAGCGAGACCTTGTCTCTACAAAAAAAATCGAAAAATAAGCCAGGCATGGTGGCGTATGCCTGCAGTCCCAGCTACTCAGGAGGCTGAAGTGAAAGGATCACCTGAGCAGGAATGGGAGGCTTCAGTGAGCCATGGTCATGCCTGCACTCCAGCCTGGGCAATACAGTGCGTCCCCGACTCAAAAAGAAGGAATTTGTTAAAGAAATTTAACCCTCTAGTAAGGAAATCAGTTCAAAGAAAGGTCTGAAGAACAGACATATATGTATTAAGGAATACTGAAATAAATTTTCTAATTATGCAAATGGATGAATATTTTATAGGTCAATAAAATATAATGCTTGAGATTCTTCTGTATGGCACATATAAGTTGTGTCTCTAACAGGGAAGGCTTATTTGCATTGCTATAGAAAGAACGATTTATACCACTCTGAGTTTTCTGCTGTTCCCCTCCTTGCAGAGTTATAGAATAGCCTAGTCAGACTGCCTGCCTTTAAGTCACAGCTCCAAGACCAGGTGGCCTTGAGCACGTTACACTCTTGATGCCTCCGTTTCCTCATCTGAAAAATAAGGATGACAGTATCTACCTCATGGTTTTGTTATGAAGATTAAAACATCTTTATTTTCTGTGATATGTAGCGCTTAGGACAGTACCTAGCACATGGTTAACACCATAAGTATTTATTCAACAAAAGTTGAAAATATAACACCAATGGAGGTCAAGGGGGGAAAAACTCACATTGTAGGTCTTGGAAGGCATGTATTTCCATGAACATTATGGATAGTGAGAGGGCTGTGCTCTGGGCTTTTATTCCTATTCAGCCATCATTGAAGATAAGCTGCTTCCTCCTGAATTACTGAGGCCAAAGTCAATCCAACCTAGAGAACAACTGATATTTTTCAGTGTTGATCCCGTAGAAAATGTTTCTTCTGTTGAAGAAAGTTTAGCATCTAGCAACCTGTGGGGAATAATACTTCTTCTAGTGGCAACTTCGCCCTACTCTTTGCAAAGACAACTCTAGGATTATTTCACTGAAGGGACACATGCTTGGGTTGAGAATGGACCCAAGACAAGAAGTCAGAAAACTCTGTCCCGTCTAGATATTTTCTGAGCCCCAGGTTTCCCCTAATGTCAGTTCATTCCACTAGTGAAAATCTGAGCTGAAAGGGACTTGAGTACATCAACTAGTAATGGGCTGCCGATAAATTAAAGGTTAGAAGCATTCCACAAACCCAGCAACGGTGAGAGTTCTTCAGTGTATACAACCCAGAAGACGGGAGAACCATGCGTCAGGGTAGTTGGGAAAATTCTCAAGACAGGCCTTGCTACTAGCATGATGGGCTGACCATGCATTGTGTTGTTTTCTCAGTAGACCCCTGAGGTGTTTACCACTAATATTTCCTCCTAAATTTAAGAAAGCTTGGCTGTAATCCCTTGTCAAAGCCACACAGCAATTATATGGCCCACATTGTGAGACCTGACTATGAAAGTTACCAAAATGGGCGGTTCCCACTTAAACCCTTCTCCTCCTTTCCCAGGCTGATCTTGAATCCCTGAGCTGAGGCAATCCTCTCAACCTCAGCCTCCCTAAGTGCTGGGATTACAGGCTTGAGCCACCGCGCCCAGCCAAATAAATATTTTTAAGTGAATGAACAAAGTCAAAAATGTAAACCTGGGAAATTGTGTGCAGCCCAGATGGGGCATATACTCTCCTTTTCTCTGCACGGGGTAAGGAGGAAGACGGGATCCAGGTGGGGCGGGACCGAGAAGTTGGCGACTAGTGCAAAGTCTTCACCTGCTAGTCCATGTGGTGGGCGGGTCTGCTCTCTTTCCTGTTGGCTAATTAGTGCTCAACTATAATTTTTAAAAGGCTAGATATATGATTTTATATAAATGTAAAATGAATGTTATCGGAGGCCGAGGCGGGAGGGTTGCTTGGGCCCAGGAGCTTAAAACCAGCCTGGTTAATATAGCGAGACCTTGTCTACAAGAAAAATCGAAAAAGTGTGTAAAGTGGTCATATACATTTTATTTTTTGTTTTGTTTTTGTTTTTGTTCTTTTCATACATACTGGAGGAATCCCTAGGAGTCAAGTGCAGCCTAGAGAACGTCTTCTCATCTTGAGACCAAGGATACATGTGGCCTTCTGTAAGGAACCAATAGAAATCTTTTCCTTTTCTTAGTTGCTATACTTCTACTCACTTCTTGGTACAGTCACAGCAAGACATGTTTTATTTTAAGGGTAGGTCCAAGCTGGGTGTGGGTGGCTCAAGCATGCAATCTCAGCACTTTGGGAGGCGAAAGTGAGAGGATTACCTGAGCTCAGAAGTTCAAGATCAGCCTGAGCAACACGGCAAGACCTTGTCTCTACAATAAATTTAAAAAATCAGCTGGGCATGGTAGCACATGCCTGTGGTTCCAGCCAGTTGGAAGGCTGAAGTAGAAGGATCACCTGAGCCCACCAGGTTGAGGCTGCAGTGGCCATGAGCATGCCACTGCAGTGTAGCCTGGGCGACAGAGTGAGACTCCAACTCAAAACAAAAAGAGCAGGTCCAGAGTTATTGAAAGGACATCAGATGGAGTCGGTATACCCAGTGAGCAGCCATTTTGACATTGCCTTGATCTGTCATGTTTTTCTAGCAATTCACCTTAATTTACCCTCTAATCACGAGCCAAGGACAAAACCAGTTTCTCAGAGGTAGCAATTGATAATTGTCTTACAATCCCCTCCCCAGCTTGTTTTGTAAACAAGTTAACCTAATCAGCCCCTCCTGACCTGCATGACACAGACCTCATCAACATGGCAACTGTCATGTGACTAGCCCACCCGTCTGCTGAATATTCATCACCTGACATCAGTCACTATGCTCATCTGTTCTCTTCATTAACATGGAACAGACCACCACCCCATCACCTTAATGACATGCTCATACCAAAGGGAAGGTTTAGAAGCATTCAACTGCAAGCAGTCATTTGCTCTTGTTTTGTTACGCACCGGCCAGGCCATGTGTTGGTGGTGCGATGGCCGCCATGTTTTCTTAGCTTCAGTCCCCTCCCCTACCTTGGGGAGGTGAATCTCTTCTCTCTGTCTCTAATTTATTTTCTAAATAAACTATATCTTCTAACCTAACTTCTGTGCAATTCTTTGCATTTTTCACGTGGCACCAGATTGTAGAACAGACAACCCCCGTTGAGTCTGACCTAATATCTTGGAGGCCTCCAGCAGGACTTTTTTTAACCTAACAGTTATTTTTAATGTACAAATTCCATTTTTCAAGGAAAAATATATTAAAAACGAAATACTTTCTTTCAAAGTTTTTATTTTGATTAAAAATATATATACTTAATTTTAGTTAAGCCAGAGGTAATTATAATTTCTCAGTCCAGGGATATTAGGAAACAACTTAAAGAGCATTCTCCAAGAGGTATTCTCTTGGCCTTTGAAGGTATCTATTTTCAAACTTAATAGTAAAGTCAAGCAAAAAATTGACAATGAGGGTTTTCAAAGCCAAGTATTTTGTATAATCAATCATGTATCTATGCCCTGTAGATTTCATCTCATTTTATGATACATATCACTATATATGGTACACTGAGTACATAGCAAGTATGCAATAAATACTTAGTACACTGAGGTAAACTGATAGACACTCTTAATTACACCATTCCTAACAACCAAACCAGCTGTTGCTTTTCAGCCTTTTGGTGACACGACGGGATAGGAGACCATATTCAAACTGATTAGATCCTTGGAAGAAATAGTATCCTGAAAATGAAAACAAATTAAATTATTTAATTCTCTGAAAATTAAACATAAACATAAAAACATAGATCTTTAATAGATTATCTAGATGAGATGGGATGTGATATGGAGATGTAAATGTTGGGGACCCTTGTCTGTGTGTCCCAGATATCAACCCACAGCCAGTTGTGTTCCAAGTGAAGGACTCAAGAGAGAGGATGTTGGACCAGGTGGGCCACACAGGGACCTCTGGTCTTGTCTGAAGACTCACAACACACACTTCTCTCATCCTACACTCAGCCTCGAGCCATGAGAGACAAAAGAAAGGTCGAGAACCCAAGTGCAAGGATGAGACTCCAGACACACTGACTCTCGGCTGCAGCGTGCTCACTTACACGTACTGTGTAGCTGATGTGGTCAAAGAAACTTCCAGAGATTAGGCATATGGGAAATAGCAACCACTGCATTCCTCCTGCATGCCACCACTCTAGGGACACACGATTAGGGCCACCTGCTCATTCTAGCACCCCCCGCCCCCCCGAATTGGAGCCAAATATAGTGTGAGTTTATCCTTGTGGCTCCGTGGGGAATTGCAGGTCCTATTACTTTCCTATGGAGCCCCAGTCTATGATCCTGGAAGCTTCATGGTGTTTTAAAAGGGGATTTCCAGGGTCTTCATGGTTTCCTAATCCACTTACTGAATTTAGAATAGAAGACTGCATCAATTTTAGGTCCAATTCCTGAGAAGTACTTGGTAATCAATTGGGGAAAACCCAGGTCCATGGACTGTCTCTTCTCATCATACCTGAGCAAAAAAATAACCAGCAGGAATGCAATCAGAAAGTGGATTTTGTGACATAAACCACAAACCCGCCTTTTCTCCTGACGGGCTCTTCCTGAAAGGGTTTAAACTGTGATAATGAAGAAAACTGAGGATTGAAGCATTCACTTGTTTCCTCTAAGTCCCTACAGGACCCCAAATTCTACTTCCTGATTCTAATTAAGCTTTTCCTCACTATCCCATGATGTTTTCACTGGTGCTTGGTCCTACTGTACAGAGTCTAATATCAAAGGTGATTCATCTACAGTATTTATTGATTAATGATTGATAGTTATCAATAATTGATTACTAATTAATAATAATTTAGCAGTCTGTCAGTAAAGCCCTCTTTACTGAGCTTTACACTGAGACAAAAGCAACCATGTCTTCCCAGAAAACAATGGATGGGCCAAGGGTTTCAGAGTCAGGGAACTAAAGGGTTTTAAACATATATGTTAGAAATTAATTGAAAATAAACCTTTTAATTCCAGGTTGCATATAATCAAGTCCCAGTTTCTCTCTTAAATTAGCTCTTACCAGCAAGCAAAAAGAGTTTTGTTTCTCTCTATACTTCCGAGTGGCAATTGAATCTGTTATTTATTTGTATTCAGTTTAGCTCTCCAAGTATTTATTGCTTGCTCAGAACTATCTTACTGGACTTTAAGGGAAATAAAAACCTTGGGGCAGACAGAATCATAACACTAAATAGGGTTAACAACGTTGGTCAGAACTGAAATGTCAATGCTGATAAAGGCGACCTATGACAAACCATATCCATTGGCGAGCTCTTAATTTGCTAAAATCAAAAGTTTTGTTTCTCAAACAGGGCTGAGGATTGGTGGACAAACTCAAGTCATAAGCACGTGGTATTCAATTAGAATTAAATAATGAATTATACATGCTCAAGAAAAAAATAGTTGCCCGGGAGCAGTGGCTAACACCTGTAATCCCAGCACTTTGGGAGGCCAAGATGGAGGGACTGCTTGAGAACAGGAGTTGAATACCTAGCAACACAGTGAGGCCTAGTATCTATTAAAAATTTATAAATTAGCTGGACATGGTGGAGTGCACCTATAGTCCCAACGACTTGGGAGACTGAAGTGGAAGTATTGCTTGAACCCAGGAGGTCGAGGCTGCGGTAAGCCATGATTGGGCCACTGCACTCTAGCTTGGGCCACAGAGTGAGACTCTGACTCAAAGGAAAAGAAAAGAAAAACTAGCGGTTGTAATGAAACCACACACATTCCATTCTGCCTCGTGTTGATCATGCAAGCAATCTGGGTAATGATTGGTTTACTCAGAAGAGGGAACAGATCATTCTCTCTTCCTTCACCATTTAGACACTTGAGACGAAACAGGCAGACACTCAGATGAGCTTCTGTCCTCACTCGCCCGTTTGGTTTTTCTTTCAGGAAGACTTTGCCGAATCTCCTGTCATATAGAGGACGGTTTCCTCGTTTTACTTTTTGGACCCAGTGATTATGCAAAGGACTCTGGAAAGCCATATGCCCTCCAAACTGACTGTGGATTAAATTCCGGGCCTCATCCACCCATTGCACTCTTCCCCAGTGTGTTTCCAACATGATCCATAACATGGCATTGTATTTATTTAAAGTGCTCTTTTCAAAACAGCACACTCTAAACTATCTCATACATCAGCAACCAAATGTCGAACAACTAGGTTGGCAATAACGGCTTGAGTCCCATATTCTCTTCATCCCTCTCCCAGGAAGGTCAAGGATCTTTAGAGACTTGCACAGAACACTTCCTTCTGGAAAATTCCATCCTGTGCCTCTTTCACAAAGTTAGGGGTCAAATTACAAACCGTTAAAGCTCACCTCCAATATCGGTTGTCTACAAAGAAGTAGGTCTTAAGAGAAAATGGGTTAAAAACAGCTGCGTCAATTTTTTTCACAGAGTAGGGGAAGCCCAGAGAATGTATGCTCTTGGGATAATTTGGTTGTGGTCTTAAATGGCTAATTAACCAGTATTTGTCATCTGTGAAGACAGAAAAAGGATGCATTGAAATTATACAGAAAGTAATAAAAATATTGACTTGCTACAAACAACATAATTCCTTTCCCATTGTTCTAAAATGTACTGCCTTTTGTTCTTAAACATAGTCTATCTCCCGTGGTTCCATGTGGCTTTTCTCAAGCATTACCATCTTATATTTTACAAACCCTTCCCAAAAGTTGTATGTATTATTTAGGTACTTAGGTTACTTTAGTTTACAGTTCAAAGTCACTATTCATAAAATCTAGAGTGCTTTTTTCTTTTGTCTGTGTCTATAAAAAAAGTAGCAATATTCTCTTAATTTGTTCTCTTCCTTGAAGTAGACTGAATAGTAAAACTAAACATCGGGATTACCTTTAAAAAGAAAAACTTGATTTCTGGTTGTAATTTCATAAGCAGCTTGAATGCCAGATGGCAAGGTTGGCCATAAGGAAGAAATTAAACTAACACTGGTCTTTGGATTCCCGGCAAACTTCCACCAGAAGAACCTGACATGAAAGACATTTAACACTTGTTAGAGACCACCGTAGACTCAAAAACCATGGAGGATGAGTGGGAAGGGCGTATGAAAAGACTCGGTATTTCTTTCTATCATCTTCACATTCTGTTCCCTGGATGTCTGATGTCCATGGAGCCACAAGGAGGGGATCTTAATATTGATTCCTTAATGATAACAATGACTTTAACATGCAACCTGAGATATGGAAATGCCCTGGGGCTTGGTCCCAGGATCTCGGGTGTTAGTCTGACCCTACAATCCATTTTGTAACCTCAAGGAAGTCACCTAACCTCAAGTGCCTCTGTCTATACTCTCAAAAATGGGAAATATTTGTCCTACTTGCCAAATATCAGTATTTCCAACTGTCCCCACCCTTCTCGCCTGCCAGCTATATCTGTTTCCACAGAAGCCATAAGTCATCCTGGAATTCTCTTCTCTATAAATCAAGTATCTTACATCTGTAGTCTTTTGCAGTCTTATATCCAGACGTCATCATTTTAATCTATGATTAAAACAGTCTGGCTTCTCTGTTTTCTGTCTTCTAATTCCCCAATCCAGATTCCTACTGCAAATCCATTTTTATATGCCAATGAAAGGTACCTGTAGAAACCTAGAATAAACTTAGCTTACTCTTAGTTTGGTATTTTTGCCTCAGCATAACCATTTTTGCTTAGACTTTGCCCCTGACATGCTTTGAATCTAGCACAGGTTAGACATAGATAAATAAGTTTTCAGTAGGCAGGTTTTAGGAACCATTCAGACTTTCACCGCAGGCCAAGCAGCAGACTACCCCACTCCCTCGGCAAATCTCCATCAGATTCAAGACAAGGACAGAGTCATAGATATGATAACAGAGACCCAGTGAGGTGGGCTCTGCCTGTAATCCCAGCACTTTGGGAGGCTTAGGCTAGAGGATTGACTGAGTCTGGGGGTTCCAGACCAGCCTGGGCAACTTGGTGAGACCTTATCTCCACAATAAATCACAAAAACTAGCCGGGTGTGGTGGCGTGCGTCTGTAGTTCCAGCTACTTGGAAGGCTGAGGCCGAAGGGTCGCCTAAGCCTAGGAGGTCGAGGCTGCTGTGGCTGTGAGTGTGCCACTGCACTCCTCCCTGGGCAACAAGAGTGAGACTCCAACTCAAAAAGAAATGATAATAGACCACCTTTTGGTTAAGGAGTTTGTGGATTACAAATGTCTGACAAAGTCTCTTGCAGGAAAATGCCCCTCCCCTTGTCTCCTCTCATCTAACCCGCCACTTGAAGGCATGAGATGCTAACGTCCGGCAACCTCAAGATCTAAGACTCATGTGACTAACCCATCCATCTGCCTGCTGTCCATCACCTGATGCCAGTACCTGTGCTCACTTGCCCCTTAATAACGAATGATGTGGAATGGACCACCACCCAATCACCTTCACGACCTTTCCCCCTCCAAGAGAAATGGCTAGAAGGACTCAACCACGAGCAGACATTTTGCCATGGCCTTACTAGACTCTTGTGTGGCCACATGCTCTCTGAGCTATGACTGTCGCCAGGCTTTCTGGCTTTGGCCCCCTTCCCTGCCTTAGAGAATCTCCTCTCTCTCTCTCTCTCTCTCTCTCTCTCTCTCTCTCTCTCTCTCTCTCTCTCGCTCTCTCTCTCTCTCTCTCTCTCTAATTTACCTTTAAGTAAACTATATTTTGTATTCTAACTTCTGCGCAATTCTTTGCATCTTTCATGTGGCATCAGATTGCACCCCAGACACCCACACCCGCAGTGGGACTGACCTAGCATTCTGGCGGCCCCGCTGGGAGAGTGTGACCCTACCATCCATTTTTTTCTAGTTAAAACATAAATGTAATCCCACCACCCTCCTGCTTCAATATTGATTAGGTGTGAAAATGATCCTACCTGTCTTTGAAGAAAAAGATTTTATCTCCCACTGTGGTGACAGCATCAAAACTCAAATTGGGGTCACAGATAGCTGATGTTGGACTGTCGGGTTTGGGCAAGTGTTGGTCTTCTTCAGGGCCTCCTGAAAATACATTTTAAGAAGCATTAGGACAAAAAAAAAACTTGCATTTTACTTCATACGAGGAAGAACCATTATTTTTTAACACAATTTTCTTTCTATTTTTTTTTTTTTTTGAGTTGGAGTCCCACTGTGTCGCCCAGGCTAGAGTGCAGTGACATGTACACAGCTACCCCAGCATCGACCCACTGGGCTCCGGCGATCCTTCTGCCTCAGCTTCCAAGTATCCGGAACTATAGGGGCATGCTACCATGCTAAATTTTTGATTTATTGTAGAGATGAGGTCTCGCCAAGTTGTCTGGGCTGGTCTCAGACCTGTGGGCTCAGGCAGTCTTCTCACCTCAGCCTCCCAAAGTGAGCACATTCAATTTTCTTAATGAACATTGCATAAAAATCCATTTGCATTTCCTATAACATTAACAGGAAGCATAAAATAAGAATTTTTTTCATGTGGTTGCAATATTATGGAGAAAAGTCTGATGACTTATTTTTTCCACCCAGTTACATTATTTTACCTGTGATCCTTCTGCCACAAGCAATGTCATCTTGGATAGAAAGAACACCCAAGTTGAGGCCTCAGGTTCTGCCTGTGTCAGGTTCTGACATTAACATACTGGGTCTCTTATCCTCATCTGTAAAATGACGATAATGCCTGTGCTACCTACCTCACTGGGTTCTATGGGGTTCAAAAGAAAGGATGGATATGAAAGTTTGATCCAAATGCAGATATTCCTAGACCGATCATAAGCACGAGTATCTTCATATGGCAAAATGATAAAGAAATTCAACTCACCATAGAGGGACTGAATGCCACGTATGTCATCAGCAGAGAGATGGAATGTGTTGGGGTCAACGTATCTGTAGTTGGGAAACATGATGGCCTTTGGATCTTTGGAATGGTCAAGACCCAAGGAATGGCCAAGCTCATGAACAGCAACGAGGAACAAGTTAGTACCTAAGAGGAAGCCAATGAAAAGGGGTAAGGCAGTGAAATACGTTGCCATCTTGGACACTAATACAAAGTCTGACGCAGTGAAAAAGAAACAGAAATCATTTACTTATCTCTCTTCCCTTTTGAACAGGCATTTCTCAACCTCAGCACTATTGACAGTATAGGCCAGATGAATCTTTGTTGTAGGACTGTCCTGTGCATTATAGATGCTTAGAAATTGCTGGATTTTACCACTAAACACAAGTAGCAACTCCTCTTTTAGTTTTGACAACCAAAAAAAAAATCTTCCAGACATTGTCCAAGGGGTACACTGGGTACAAAATTGGGTACAAAATTGCCTCTGATTAAGGACCACTGAACTAGTCCAAATGAAGTATATTCTGTTGTGAGAATTCCCAGGATAACTCATAGTAGTGTTCAACAGTTTTCACTGCTTCTAAAACATTCTCAACTCCCATGATTCATTCTGCTTTTACTTTTGATCAAGCTTCAGTAGATACAGAAAAGTCTTTAGTAGTCATCCTTTCCTAAACCCAAATATAAGGCTATCATTGCTTCAGGTACTGAATCACTGAGTAATATAAAGCATATCTAATCCTTCTACAACTGAAAGGAAGCCACCATGCTCTCCATTTATAAATGAGGAACCAGTATCAGTAAGATTAATTGATGAAATTAAGTGCATGAGTCAAGATTTAAATCCAAATTTCTTGGTTCTAAAGCTCATGCTTTTGCTATACCTGATTCTAAATAAAGTTAAAGAGTCTGTATAACTCAAGGAAAGGACATGAAAAAAGAACAAAAAAAGAGAAAAAAATTTAAAAGAATCTACACTTATATAAAATTAGACTTAAAGGATTCTTATATTACACTTACATTTATTAAACACTTATATTGCGCTTATAAGTTAGACATATAGGACCTCCAAGTTTCAGTCATGCTCATTCATTTTTTTAAGGACTTCTCCTTTGTAGTTAAGAGGGGAGTGTGTTCCTTATCTCAAATTTCTCCTTTTGAAGAAGGTCTGAACCATTGACGGAAGTTTTTATATTCTAGTTCAATGTCTTCCTTTTTGTTTCGTTTTCTTTTTTTTTGAGTTGGAGACTCACTCTTGCTGCCCAGGCTGGAGTGCAGCGACACACTCATGGCCTCACCTGCTGGACTTAGATGATCCTTCCGCTTCAGCCTTCCAGATAGCTGGACATACAGATGCACGCCACCATGTCTGGCTAGCTTTTGTGATTTATTGTAGAGACGAGGTCTCACTAAGTTGTCCAGGCTGGTCTCGAACCCGTGGACTCAGGCAATCCTCTCACCTCGGTCTCCCAAAGTGCTGGGATTACAGGCTGAGCCACCAGTCCCGGCCTTTGTTTTATTTTTCTATGACAAAACTGTAACTCAAGAAGTGACTAGCCCCGAGTCACACACCCTTCGACTGCAGAACCTGGCCTTGGAATACTCTCCAGTATCCAAATGCAAACAAAGTTGACAGCACTCTCCGAGGGAGAGTCTAAATACAAATTCTCCAAGCATGCTCTGTAGCATGGATTCGGCAAGTAACTCAGAGCTGCTTTCATTTTTTCTCTCAAGCAGAAAAAAGAAGCAGGGACTCAGTTATTCTCTACACTCTGCATAAGACTGGAAAGAGTTAACAAAGTTTTTGCAATGTGGCCTAAATATGATTTATCCTATTCCCAATTCCCACGATACTCCTACAAACCCTCACCACTGATCTTCATCTCAAAATAATAGCTTTCTGTATGTGTGCTGCTTCCCGCTAGGTTGTGGGCTCGAGGGTAGGATTGTGTCCTTCCCCTCTCTGTATTCAAATACTCCATCACCCAACACCACAATTGAAACTCTGTAAGCTTTTAATTTTCTACGTAAAAAAGTCAAGCTGAGAATGAGCATTTTAAGTTAGAATTTTTATAAACAGACTGGGCACAGTGGCTCGCACTTGTAATCTCAGCAGTTTGAGAGGCTGAGGCTAGAGGATAGCCTGAGCCCTCGAGTTTGAGACCAGCCTGGGCAACATAAGCAAGAACTGTCTCTACAAAAAAATCGAAAGAAATTAGCCGGGCATGGTGATGTGTCTGTAGTCCCAGCTATTCAGTAGGTTGAGGTGGAAGGATCCCCTGGGCCTAGGAGGTCGAGGCTGTGGTTAGCCCAGGAGGTGGAGGCCGTGGTGAGCCCTGATTGCACCACAGCACTCCAGCCTGAGCAACAGAGTGTGATTCTAAATCCTGCCCTACCCACATACCCTCAGAAAAAATTTTCGTAAATAACATCACTTTTCAAGTGAATTAAAAAATAAGGCAACATGGACTGGGCATAGTGACTCACGCCTGTCATCCCAGCAATTTAGGACGTGGAAATGAGGGGACTGCCTGAGTCCGTGGGTTCGAGACCAGCCTGGGCAACTTGGCGTGACCTCATCTCTACAATAAATCAAAAAAATTAGCCGGGTGTGGTGATGTGCCTCTATAGTTTTAATTACTTGGAAGGCTGAGGTCAAAGGATCACCTGAGCCCAGCAGATAGAGGCTGTGGTGGCCATGAGCGTGCCACTGCACTCCTGCCTGGGTGATGAAGTGAGACTCCAACTCAAAAAAAAAAAAATCCTCTTCTCATCAGAAATTTGGTAAGCCCTAGGCTATGTGTCAGACTAAAACAAATGACCTTTCTGGTGAACATACTGTCTATAAAAATATTGCCATTTCAAAAAGGGAACACTTCTACACTGCTGGTGGGAACTTAAACTAGTATAGCCTCTGGAGAAAACAGTGTGATGATTCCTAAAAGATCTAAAAATCGACCTCCCATACTACCCTGCAATCCCCCTACTAGGAATATACCCAGAGGAACTCGAATCACTCTATGAAAAATATACCTGCACACGCATGTTTATTGCAGCACTATTCACAATAGCCAAAACATGGAGCCAACCGTGCTGCCCATAGAAAGAGGACTAGGTAAAAAAAAAAAAAAAATGTGGTACATATACATGATGGAATATTACGCAACCATAAAGAAGCACAAAATTATGAACTTTGCAGCAACTTGGATGGGCTTAGAGGCTATAATACTGAGTGACCTATCACAGGAACAAAGAACCAAATATCACTTGTTCTCACTCATAAACAGACCTTGAGCAACTATCATAGTACTATAAGAAAGGGATTGGAGCCGGGCTCAGTGGCTCAGCCTGTAATCCCGCCCCTTTGGGAGGCTGAGGTGAGTGGATTGCCTGAGCCCACAGGTT